GAAGGTGCTTATTTGTTCTGCTATACATGCTTCCATCTTCTGTTTTATTGCATCATTCAGAATGGATGAGATGATGCGTGGACAAAGGGGATGGAGAGAATTAGCAGTCCTGGGAGATAAAATAGACAAGGTTTCGGGCCTCATTGAAGGGCTCATATGGTCTCCTAGGGGTGGTGAAGCTAATAACCATTTTGATGATTGGCGTTCTGAGGAGGTATTTTTATGGTACACAACTGTTTTTTTTTAAATTGTATGAAGCACTTACATTTTGTATTTGCCTTTCTGATCACTAAAAGCATTTTGATTAAAAATGTTTTAATGAGATCTAAGTTACAAGGTTTTATATGTTTCTGTGGTTGCTGTGAATGCTCATGCCAAAGAGTAAAATAATTTCTTGAGTCCATTTCCTTTGCTATCAATAGGAGTACTTATAAATTCTACTTTTTGGGATTAGATTCTTTGTATCCTTGCATAATAAATCTGCTTACAAATAAATTTTTCTGTTTCTTATTTGGCAAATTGGAGAAAATTTATGACAATACTGATAAAGAAAGGCCATTTATAGAGATATGTTTAGTACCTTTTTGTTTATTGGTGTAAATTAACAAACTTACTAAGATGTATTTAATTTTAAATATCTTTTGGGAAATAGATTTTAGATGCACCAACTCTGTGAAGCATGCTAATTTTGATTGAGGTAAGATACATCAGGAGTCGAACATAATTAGTAAGTTTCCTATATCACTTTTGGGGCTATATCAGGAGATTTTAACGAAGGGAAAGAATAGTTATCTGAATCATTTTGAATTGTTCTGTTAGGCTTTCAAAAGTCTTAACAACAGAAGATGGATAAAATGAATGAGAAGGAAGGCTTTTGCTTGAGGATTATATGTGATTAAAAGGAGCTTAAGTATGAACTAGATTGGAAAGCAATAAAAGGAGCATGTAGACACTTCTCTTCAGAAGGGGTCAAATTCGTACCTTTTTCCCATTGACTTTTCAAAAGAAAACTGAAAAATATGTTGGAAATTGGCCGTTAGTCCATGGTACAATTTTGAGTTTGTGTACTAAAGACTTTTTCTTTACCTGCATCAGATATTTGCTTTGCTTGAGCGTATGCAGCTGGTTGCCCAGGCATTAGGAGTTCTTGCAGTTACTTTTCTTGTATGCATCTTGTGAATACTATTAGGTGTAAGTGATTGTTCATTTAATTTAGTTAGAACTAAGAGAGCTTTACTGCTGTACCTTTTCCTTGTTTTGCCCTCTATCTTGGATATGAAAGATAGAATGTATAATGACTTTATTTTGGAAAAGGATAAGTTTGAATGGTTGGTACTCTATAGATCGGTAGATAGCAAACAAGCATTATTAAACCATATGTTAGCTTGACTTTTAACTTATAGCGGAGGAAAGAGGGTTCTCTGATGCAGCTTAATTGAAGTATCATATTTGCTCCAAATTTTCATAGGATTTTTTAATTCTTTGAATGCTATACTATCTATAAGAAGCTATTGTTTGATTAGTAAAATATGTCTTTTTTACCTGTGAAATCCTAATATCAGTTTCTTGTGTTGGTTGCAAGTAGGGCCCTCACTCTGATTTTCATGGACCTACTTCTGGAAGCACAGCCTGTGTTGCAATCATTCGAAACAACCAACTTGTTGTTGCTAATGCTGGTGATTCTCGTTGTGTAATATCCAGAAAGGGCCAGGTACAATTTTCTTTCCTTCTGCAGAACCATGAAAACATGATTTCAAAATTATGCTGACGGAATGAAGGCGTTTTAAAATTGTCAACTGAAGGAAAGTCTGCTGTAAGTGAGTGATTTTGTCGTAAGTTAATTCTAGCACTTTTAAGTGGCTGTTGTTCAGGCTATATTCTTCTCATTAATATTGGAGTAAGATGTAATCTACAGGGCCTTGCCCTTTTAAATGTGTGAGTATTTTGAGTCAGATTTGAATCGGAAATGGTTGTAGAAGATGTTCTTACCTTTCTCCATTTGATTGCTTGTAGGAGAGAGGAAAGCAGTGTTAATGTAACATAATTCCTGTTACATCAATTTTCAATTTGCTTGAAGTATACTAGTCTCTAGAGTAACTGCTTAACTAGTCCCCAAAGCATTTATCCAATGCTCCATGTTCAGAGATGTTTTTTAAGTTTCCTTTACCTCTCCCCTGTGGATATGCAATAGGATCGTCTCTTTTTGCAGGCGTATAATTTGTCTAAAGATCACAAGCCTGACCTTGAGGTGGAGAAAGATAGGATTCTGAAAGCTGGTGGTTTTATTCAAGTGGGACGTGTCAACGGAAGTTTAAACTTGGCCAGGGCTATTGGTACTTCTAGATCCCAGTTTAATTATTTCTACATTTGAGAGGAAATTTTGGTGTTTGGAAGGGGGAAGTGGATCTAACATCCAGTTGCTTATTGTTCTAAAATTGTCTTTCGGTTGCAGGAGATGCGGAGTTCAAACAGAACAAAACTCTGCCAGCGGAAAAGCAAATTGTAACAGCTAATCCAGACATTAACACTGTAAGTGAATTGCTGTTTGCTTTAGTATTTGTTTAATTTCTTACCTCATTCTCTAAATGTTGATATTGGCCAATTGATTTGATAAAGAAATTAACTTTTAAATATTCTTTTATTAGAATTGAAAGAATATCTATCAATATTCTGTAGTCGTATTATGTCTTATGCATATAGAAACCTTTTCGAGATATATCACTGGCAATTAATGTTTTTGTTTATTCCTTTCTTTAAACTCTGCTTTATCCTGTTTGAAATAGGTTGAGCTTTGCGATGATGATGAGTTTCTTGTTTTAGCTTGCGATGGGATTTGGTAAGTTACTTTATAACATCGTTTTTGTTACAAGAAATAGTATCTCTTCTACCCTGCATTCTGAAATCAACCATATATGCTACTAGAATATTATTTGGGCAATATTGAGAACCCTCAATGTAATATGTGGTAGGTGCATGCAGGAATGCTGCCTGCCTACTTGCCAATCGTTCTGAAAGATTTGATGTCAAGCAATCTGTCATAGTTTGACTTTAAACTGTATTGGTGGATGAGGGGGGACTTATGTAGCCAATCCCAACTTGATGGAACCAAGCATACTTATATATATGGATGATGGAACTAAGCATATTTGCCTATGTATGCATGTACGTGTGTATGTAGGCATTTGATATGTCTATATATGGGAAGGGCTAAAATAAAGAGAATGTGTATAGATTTCCTTGGGAGCTTCTAGGAGGGGTATTGTGAGGATACATAGTTAGGAATAAGATACAAAAATTTGGGATGGAGATGTAAAGAATGCTGCTTAATACTTGAGAATGGGAAGAGATGGGCTATTTATGCTGGGGAGTGAATAGAATGTCTCGAGGCAACATAGAGCATGTATCAGTAACCTTGTTAATACTTGGGTAAAATATAAAATAAGCCCTTACTCAATTCATTTTCTCATCTAAGCCCCTAGTGTCTTATTGCAATCAATTAAGCCCTTGAATATGGCATTAATGAAAAAGAAAAGGAAAGAAAAAAGGAAAAAATAAATGTTTTTATTTATTTGAAACATGTATATTAATGCCACATGCTCAAATATATCCCATGTCATCAATGCCATGTAGCAATCTTCTCTTAGTCGGCAAAGAGGGTTAATGGTGTCATTGACTAACATACTCCCTTTGGTTCCTTCATTTCTCACTCTGCATCATCTGCTTATTGGTCACATCATCTTGATTGTGGATAGACATATGAGTGTTCTTCAGAAGAATACAGATATATAAAACTTAAATTTTTTATTGGAAGGGCTTATCTAGAGGAGTGGAATGATTCTTTTTTGTTGGTAAGTAAGGTTATTATATGCACATTGATGTAATTAGAAGTTTTTGATTTTATGCTAAGGTATGGATTGTTTGTTAGACTTGTAACGAGTGCCAGCATTGAATTTAAAATTTCATACCAAGTCTTTCCAATTTCTCCAAATAAGTTGTGGCCACTCTTCTACCCTTTTAGGATAACATCTTGAGTTTGTGCAGTATTGGCAAGAAATTTAGATTTCGCACTCTTCTGCTTGGTGTCTATCTTCTCTCTATCCGTTATTATATTAGAAAACATACTCCTCTCTGCACCATGCACAACGGTGGCAGATGGTGATAATGTAACAGAATGTTCCTCATCCAAATAATCATCTGAATCATTTAGCAAATAGTTGTGGCTTAGATGGTATTATGTATTTATTTTTGTTATTATTAATAATTTGATAGCATTTTCCTATGTTGTTCACTAGGGATTGTATGTCAAGTCAACAACTAGTGGATTTTGTAGGAGAGCAGTTAAACAATGTAAGTCCTCCAGAGCCTCTGGGAGCATTATAAGCTGTCAATACACTGGCGAAGTATCGTTAGATGTGCAATGAGCTAACAGCGATCTCTTTCTCTGTGCAGGAAACTAAACTGTCAGCTATCTGTGAGAGAGTATTTGACAGGTGTTTGGCTCCAACAGCCGGTGGTGAGGGATGTGATAACATGACAATGATACTTGTTCAGTTCAAAAAACCTGCTGGTTCTGGTGCTTCTTCACAGCAGCAGCCACCAACATTGACTGATCAAACGCCCGAGACAGATAAAAGCACATTAGAGTCTGGATCCTAAGAAGCATTAGCTGCTTTCGTTGATCAAATTACCAACCATTTTCTTGAAAGCTGTAAGCAAAAGCATTATGGTATGCTAAAATTTCACATGTAGCAAGTGATTTCTGGTGATGTTATTGTATATGTTGAAGGTTTTGATTGAATAGCTCAGCTATTAAGGGTTTCTGTCCATGTGTTAGTTTTTATGCTTAATTTGAAATTTACGCGGTTTGCCAATGATTGAACATAGCATTTTAGGTTTAACCACGCCAATATGGTCGTGGGTGGTCAAAATTGATCAATTGCTGGATGTCAAATAGAGGAATTAAGTTTTGCATCAGCATGGTACTTACACCATTTAAAAATTCATGATGCAAATTGCACATTTTTCCAAGTACCAATTTATACATAAGGATAAATTAGGTACCACATGTTAATTAACTTCAGTCAAAGTCTGCTGGTAACTGGCAATGGGAACCATATCTAGAAGGGAAATTTCAGCTTTGTCGTCTGATCTTATCGCTTGGCTCTGCGTTCTCCGGGTCCTTCCAAGAGACATCTCAATAGCCCATACATTCCCTCAGTTCCGTTAGCACACGACTCATGTCCGGCCTTTGGATTGCAGCTGGCAATGCAAATAACATGGCAATCTCCACCACTTTCCAGGGCGCATTGACATCGAATTCACCTTGCAACCTAGAATCAACAATGCTTCCAATATCACCCTTTTCTATTATGGGCCTCACCGGTTGAAGTACGTGAGTGCTGCACCCGAGGCTTCTCACAAACACAGGCTGCCCGGTGATTAGCTCGGGTAGAATTATTCCGAAGCTGTACACAACTCCTTTGTTGTTTAGAATTCCCGACACAGTTGTTCTACATGAAAAACAGTGATGGTCCAAGTCAATAAGCCATTTACTGAAAGACAAACATGTTTATAGGTAATAATCTCTTACTCGGGATCAAGGTATCCAGGTGTGCCAGCCTGGGTCGATGATTGGAGATCAGAGGCAGCTCCACTTTCTGTCATGAAAACTTTAGACAACTCAAAATCAGCTATCCTGGCTTGCATCTTTTCCGTTAATAAGATGTTGGCATTTTTCAAATCCCTGTGGACTATGGGCGGCTTGATACCATCATGCAGATATTCCAACCCAGCAATGCAACTGTAGTAAACTCATCATTCTAACAAACTTATTTCAAGAGACAGCAGAAACTGAAGAAAACAAATTATTGTTAAGAGATGTGGACCTTGTGCAGCGTTTATTGCAATTTGAAGCCTTTTCTTCCCAATTTAAGACAATTGCGTCCTTCACTGGCAAAACATATCCACATAACGTCTTTCAGATGGCTTTGTGAAAGAGAAAGCACGGTTGGTCTGACATTATGTGGGAAACACTAGTTTTGCACCTAAAACACTTCAATAAATTAATAATAAATTTATCTAAAAGATTTAAAATTAAAAAAAATAATTATTTTAAAAATACTTATCTTTGAGGATTAAAAAGCATTACCCCTTTTTCGTCTCACAATCATTGGAGTGTTCCCCACCTATACTCGACCCAAGTAACTCTATAATCCGCTTTCTCTTTTTTTTTTAAAAAAAAAATATTTTTCAACAAAACATTTTCAATATGTATCTTTCGTGCTATTGTTATTATTCTAGCTAAAAATATTCCAAGGTATTCTTTGAGTCATGTGAAGTATCGAATCAATGGAAGAAAGGAAGAAGAGGATGAATGGACAAATTGAAATATAGAGCTGACTAAACACATCTCAGGATGAAAACATGCATAATACTAGAAATTGTTTTGCGCAGAAACTTACTTTCTACCTTTTCTAGCATAATTCTTGAAACTTTTGGCTCAATATTCGAGTAATGATAACTTTAGTGGGGACATGGTGTTTAAAACTAAGGGATTTGAAGTAATGTCACTTGATAAAGAAAAATGAAGAACAAATAATAATAATAATAATAATCAAGAAAAGGTTGTCTGCAGTTTGTGTCAGGTTCACGCACACCTGATAATTGCTTTCTTAAGTTTGCGTTGGCCATGTACTCATAAATCAGCGCCAACAGTAACCAACTAGGGAAACAAGGTTTCTATGATGAACAATCATTAAGAGCTGTGCCCACATTAATTCAAAATGGTTGCTCATCATTTCTTAAATGAATTTGTTAGCGGCATGTCTCATGCTAAGAAAATCTCAAACTTTCAAATATAATTTACAACTTTGGGTGCATTTTATCTAACCCCTGCTTGAAATTGCTTTGATGATTCAGAGAGCAACTTAACTGCTACTTCAGTGTTATCATTCAGATTACAAAAGTATACTTTTCCAAATCTTTCCTTTCCAATGGCGGTTTTGAAGTTGGCCGTGATACTGGCAATCTCACAGTAAGCAAAGGGTCGATTCTTTGTTTTGACTCTGCAACGACAATGAAATCTCAGATTGATTGGGTTAAGTTGCTTTCATTTAGGTTGTTCAACTTTTTAGCCAAAGATTGGTCAGGTTTTGGATTTCATGAATTACATCTCTTGGGTCCATGATTTTTTTTTACAATAAGAGTAATTCAATATCATTTCAGAGTCAGGTTTCAAGTAAGTTTAGTAGATACAGATACTGGACCTAACTAGGGTGGGTTAAATTGAATTAGTTTTTGCCACTTTAGGAGTGGTGATTACAGTACTACCAACTTGTTCTTGTCCTTTATTGATCTCAATCATCTTACAGCTCAAAGTCTTTTATTCCAACCCCAAATATCCCCTCCCCTTTTTTCCATCCCACCTCCTTTTTTCGGCCCCTTAGGCTTTGACAATCTTATCAACTAAAGGGTTTCAAGCAAACAAGTGCACTCAAGACAGCAGGTTGTAATAAGGTATATCATTGCTAAATTAGCACGGTATTTTCGATTTTGATTTATGAATACAAATTTTAAATAGAAATTAAGGGGTATTAATTAGTGATGAGTAAAACTGGAGCAATGCTGACAGTGTTGAACTGGATTGATCCTACAAACCACAATTAAACTCGACTAACTGTGACAAAAATTTAAAAAAAAAAAGATAAAATACAACTAATATTTTTAAGTTTTAATCATGTGTCTATTAAGTTTCAAAATAAACATTCTATTTTAAACGTGTAAACAACATTAATACCTGCATGTGAAATATCTAAAATATTTTTTTTCTTTGTCGACACTTTTCTTTTCTCTCTAACCGACCGACAGCACTCCTTACACCAATTGGCCACCCCGCAACTGGATCTACTTGTGGAATGTCAGATTCGACTGAATCTTTCCAAGAGAGCACCAGATTGTGCTTCCAAGCACTAATCTAGTGCTCCCAGATCGAGGGACCACACCTAATCGTGCTCCCCCCATTTGGTGCTCCCCCGATCTAGGGAGCACCACCAAGCTCCCTGATGCTCCCTCAATCTAGGGAGCACTAGATCATGATCCTCAAAAGAGTGCTGAGATACGCACTCCCAAGCTAGATCTTAGGTGGCATTTGGTACTTTACAATGCAATGTGATTACAAGTAATGTGATTGCAGGAAAAATAATATTACAGTGTTTGGTATGCAAGCAAAATAATGATTAAAATGGACAAAAAATAACATTATAGGGTTTGGTTTACAGTACTTTGCTGAGAATATAATATTAATTTTTAAAATTACCCCTAGTTATTAAAATACAAATTTAATATATTTATATTTTTTATTATTAATTTTTATATAATATCATCTCTTAAATATATTTTTAATGTCATATATTTTATTTTCATTTATTATTATAATCTTATATATTTTATTTTTAATATATTTATATTTTATATTTTATATTTTTAATTAATATCATCTCTTAAATATATTTTTAATGTCATATATTTTATTTTCATTTATTATTATAATCTTATATATTTTATTTTTATTTCTTTAATATATTTTTTATATTATATATTTTATTTTAATTTGTTTTACTTATATTATATAAATTTTAATTTTTTATATTTTATTTTAATTTTTGATTCTTATATTATATATTTTATTTTAATATTCTTTATTTTAATTATAATAGTATAAAATATTTTGAATAAGGTAATAAAGTTGAAGGGTAAAATTATCTTTAAGAACATTACAGAGTGCAATGTAATGTGATTGCATTGCAATCTTACATTGCAGTGGTCTGTTACAAAACAAATACTGCAATGTAATTTAATTGGACACATTGCAAAAAATGTGCTCTAACTTCCCTGATACCAAATGCAACCTTACTGTGAAGTGGCCAACCGCAAGGTCGCCGACTAGGAGTGGTAGGATAGATTTTTTTTAGAAAAATTATAATTTGATAATTTTAAAAATTAATTAAACATAAAATTATCATTTCAATATTATCATCTCATTAAACAAAAGAAATATTAATAATTGATTAACGGTAGAACTTATGTGTCTAGCGAAAAATATTCTTTTAAGACAAGTGTTTATTTTAAAAACTAATGAACCCATGTAAATTATAATTAAAACTTGAGAATATGTTAGACACCAAACTAAAAAACTTAGAAATTGGCTTCAAGGCGTGTATCAATGCCACTGTCCTTAAGGTTTTATTCGCCCCCACTTGTAGTGTGCAAAAGAGTTACCGGCGTATAAACCTCGAAGATACAATGAAGCTCAGTGATTGATGGCGTTTTGCACTGACGAAATCAATCCACTGAGCACTCACCGGAGCATAACAAGATTATCAAACTTCTATAATATTTTTTCTGCAGGAAAATAGTATAGAAGAAAACTTGGAAGATGTTTGAGGAAGAAGAAGGAAAGATATTACTGTTTTTTCTGATTTTCATTAGATAAGGAGGGTCATCTTTTATAGGCATAGATGCCTGTTCTCAACAGACACTATTTGTGTCTGTTTCAAAGAGTTGTTCCTGTTGGTCTTTTTCAACAGACGTGACTCTTTTCTTATTTTATAGTGTCTATTGATTTAATTTCCAACAGACACAACCCTTCTTTTAATTTCCAACAGTCACAACTTTCCTTCTATTTTGATATGAAATCATATTTTTATTTGAAAATGTCCAACAATCCCCCACCATTTTCAAATTAATCCAAATTTTTCGATAATCTTGAAAATCAATTACATAAATGAAGGTGTCTTCCGATTGAACCTTCACTTAGTGAAAACATATTAAAGTTAACCGAAATTGCATGGTAGACTTTGCTTTGACCAGCTATTCCATTTGGTTAATCGAACACATTTCACACATGATTTCAACACTAATGAATGCACAGTATCCGGCGACGCTTTTATGGCCATGCGTATATATCCTCTTTTCATGAGTGTTGTTAGAGCCAAGCTCTTGAACTCCTAGAAGCGGCCACACTTCACACTCACATAGGTAGATCCCATGAATGCCCCCATAACTAAGCATTCTAACAAATTATGTTATGGTCTATTAAGATATATAACTCATCCTTTCTTATCATTACGGGTCCTTAGCACTTCACTTAAGATGGAATATAACATATTATATTATAGTGCTAGCAGCCACATACAAATGATGTACTTTGTCTCATTGACTCAAGACTTGACGTTATACAACGTTGAGTTGAGTTTCCACCATGGGTGACTTTCAATTTATGAGCTTAAGTCCCATCCCTTTTGAGGTCTTATTTACAAGATCTCTAGCAAGATTTTTTTGTTAAAGGATCCGTCAAATTTTCACTAGACCTCACAAAAGTTATAGTGATCATTCCATCAGAAATTAACTGTCTAACATAGCTATGTCTTAATCCAATATGTCTAGACTTCCCATTATACACTTGGTATATGTCTTTTGCTAGAGTTGCTTATTATCACAACGGATAGAAATTTGAGAAATTGGTTTAGGCCATAAAGGCACACCATAGAGTAAATTTCTTAGCCATTCAGCTTCCTTGGTGGCAGCAGCCAATGCAATAAATTCGGTGCCATGGTAGAATCAGTTATACATGTTTATTTCTTGGACCCCAAGAAATGGCACCCACCAAGCATGAAGATCCATCCACTTGTGGAAGCATGATCTTCTAAATTGTAATCAACTACCATCCGAATATCCTTCTAGTACTGATGGATATCCATTATAGCAAAGTCCATAATTAATTGTTTTCTTTAAATATCTTAGTACTCGATTTATGACTTGCCAATGCAAAGTGCCTGGATTACTTGTATATCTACTCAATTTTCCAACAGCAAATGCTATATCTGGCCTTGTACATGTCATTGCATACATCAAAAAACCAATTACTCTTGCATATTGTAATTGATCAACAGTCCTACCAGAATTAGGTACTAATTTAATTTAAAGATCCATGGGTGTAGATGCTGGTATACGATTAGTAATGTCACACTTTTCAAGCACCTTTTCAATGTAGTGTGATTGAGATAAAGTTATGTTATTTTCATCTCAAAATATTTTAATTCCTAAAATGACATCTGCCACACCCATATCTTTCATTGCAAAGTTTTCTAATAAAAACTTCTTTATCTCCTCAACTTGTTCTAAATCAGTACCAAATATTAGCATATCATCCACATATAAGCAAATTATAACACCTTTACTATTTTGGAATTTGCTATATATGCATTTGTCAGATTCATTTATGTTGTAGCCATTGGCTAAAACAATTTCATCAATTTTTTGTGCCATTGTTTGGTGCTTGTTTAAGCCCTATACAATGACTTGACAAGTTTACAAACTTTATGCTCTTGTCTTGAAACAACAAACCCTTCTGGTTGTTCCATGTAGACTTCTTCTTCTAATTCACCATTTAAAAATGCTGTTTTGACATCCATTTGGTGAATTATCAACTTATATATTGATGCAAGGTATTAGAAGTCTAATTGTAGTAATTCTTGCTACTGGAGCATAGTATCAAAGTAGTCAATCCTTTGCTTTTGCGTAAAGCCTTTGGCTACTAATCTTGCTTTGAACTTGTCTATGGTTCCATCTACTTTCATTTTCTTTTTAAATCCATTTACAACCTATTGATTTGGAACCTGGTGGAAGATCAACCAAAATCCAAGTATTATTTCCCATTATTGAGTCCATCTCATCATGGATTGCTTCCTTCAAATGCAGAATCTTGAGACTTCATTGCCTCGCCATATGTAACAGGGTCCGATTCTAAATTAAAACAATAAGGAATCTTATTGTTAATATTTTCTCCCGTTCCTCCTATAAGGAACATATAAAAGTCTGGACCAAAATCTTTTATCTTTCTAGCCTTTTTGCTTTTCCTTATTTTTGGGCTAGATTCATCATTATTTTTATTTTGTTCTAATGGAATGACATGTGATTGAATTGATTGTAGTGGCTATAGTTGCCTTAAAACAGATTTGAATCTATTCTCATCAAATATTGCATCTCTTGATTCAATAACAGTATTGATTGGAATTGAATCATTTGGTTCAATTACCATGAACCTATATGCTTTACTATGTTGTGCATATCCTATGAATATGCATTCTATTCCTCTTTCACCCAATTTCTTTCTTTTGGGTTCCGGAACTTTAACTACAACTCTACATCCCCAAACCTTCATATAACTAAGGTTTAGTTTCCTTTTCTTCCATTGTTCATATGGGTCTTTTTTAGTTTCCTTATAGGAACTCTATTTAATATGTGACAAGCTGTTAACAAACTTCTCCCAAAAACCTTTTCCAAGACTTGAATATGATAACATAGCATTTACCATTTCAGTCAAGACCCTATTCTTCCTTTCTACTACACCATTATACTGTGGTGTGTAAGGTGCTGAAATATGATGGATTATTCCAATAGATCCGAAAATAACTTGACTATAATATTCTCCACCTCTATCTGACTTAAACATTTGATAAAGATTCACATTGTAATTCAACTTTAATTTATAAACCTTAAATTATCAAGCACTTCACTTTAGAATGTAATAAATATACATAGCAATATCTAGAAAAATCATCAATGAATGTGACAAAATATTTCTTTCCAACTAATGTAGGTGTACTATGCATATCGCACACATCACTATGTATTACTTCAAGTAATTTAGTATTTCTTTTAACTTTAGAAAAAGGATTTCTAGTTATTTTTGTTAGCATGCATGTATTGCATTTATCAATATTTAGATTAAATTTTGGAATCAAGTCCATTTTATACATATCATCCAATCTTCTATAATTTATAATGTCTTAATCTATAATGCCACAAATAAGAAGACACATTATATAGTAGAAACAACTATTTTTTTTTTTTATTAACAATATTTAATTTGAACATTCCATCACACATGTAACCTTTTCCAACAAATATACCCCTTGGATAGAATGAATTTATCTACCTCAAATACAAGTTTGAACCCAAACTTATTTAACAGACTTCCAAACACTAAATATTTTCTAACTTCTGGAACATAGTAAACATATTTCAAAGTTAGAATTTTCCCAGAAGTAAACTCAAGTTCAACAGTCCCTTTCCCTTTAATGGTTGCTGTGGAAGAATTTCCCATATATAGGAAATTCCCATAGTCACTTGGAGTGAAATTCTTGAACAAATTCTTGTCATTGCACATATGTTTGTTCTCTCGAATCAATCCACCATCATCATTTTCTTCACCATATTGATTTCTGAAATCATGGCTACAAAGTTTTCAGAACAACACTATTTGAAGAAGTAATTTTCTTCTTCAATAATCGACATTCCCTTTTGAATGTCCTGGTTTCCATAATGGAAGCATGTGCTTTTGTTCTTTCTTTTGAATTTCAGACTATTAGAAATCTGTTTGAACTTCTTTTTGGCAGGTTTAGTGGTCTGTCTTTCCTCCACTACATGTACTTTGGCTTCACCAGAAACAACGACTTGCTCTTGTTTCCTGTATTCCTCTTCAATTCGAAGATGATTTGCCAAAGCCTTCAAAGACGTTATTTCTTCCTTTTTGTGTTTCAGACTTCTTTTAAAGTCTTTCCATGATGAAGGAAGTTTATCTATAATAGAGGATACAACTATAGTTTCATCCATGTTCATTTTATATTGTTTAAACTAATTAAGCATTCTTTCAATTTCCCGTAATTGTTCTATAATAGAACTCCCATCTACCATTTGATAATTAATAAAGCGCCTAACATGAAATTTCTTACTTGTTGCATCTTCTGTCATGTACCTCACTTCCAGTTTGTCCCAGAATTCTTTTGCAGTAGCCTCGTTCTGGTATGTGTCAAATAAGCCATCAGCCAAACCATTCAAGATGTGACCTTTGCACATATAATCGGCATTGTCCCATTTTTGCCTCTCTCTCGTTGCAGCAACAGATTCATTTTCTCTTTCTTTTGGTCTAGGTGTCGTCAAAACATAGACAACTTTCAAAGTTGATAATAGGAAATGCATTTTCTTCTGCCATCTTGGAAAGTTACTGCCATCAAACCGATCTAATTTTACAAAGTCAGAAGCCAATTCTCTTAGTGTTCTGCTTGCAGCAGCCATTGTTGGAACAAGATTAAAACCTTAAGATTGTTAGAACACCAAACTAAAAAACTTAGAAATTGGCTTCAAGGCGTGTATCAATGCCACTGTCCTTAAGGTTTTATTCGCCCCCACTTGTAGTGTGCAAAAAAGTTACCAGCGTATAAACCTCGAAGATACAATGAAGCTCAGTGATTGATGGCGTTTTGCACTGACGAAATCAATCCACTGAGCACTCACCAGAGCATAACAAGATTATCAAACTTCTATAATATCTTTTCTGCAGGAAAATAGTATAGAAGAAAACTTGGAAGATGTTTGAGGAAGAAGAAGGAGAGATATTACTGTTTTTTTTTTATTTTCATTGGATAAGGAGGGTCATCTTTTATAGGCATAGATGCCTGTTCTCAACAGACACTATTTGTGTCTGTTTCAAAGAGTTGTTCCTGTTGATCTTTTTCAACAGACGTGACTCTTTTCTTATTTTATAATGTCTATTGATTTAATTTCCACCAGACACAACCTTTTTTTTAATTTCCAACAGTCACAACTTTCCTTTTATTTTGATATGAAATCATATTTTTATTTGAAAATGTCCAACAGACTATGTATATTTTTCTTAAAAAAATTCATGAACGAGATGAGAAAGAAATCGCCTCTTTTATCTTCCCTTTTTCACTTTGCAAAGTATAATCAAAAGGCTCAAGAGGATCAAAAGGGCCAAAAGTAATATAAAGGATGCAATAATGGGAATAGCAAACTTCTTCGTCCTTTTCTCACATGGTTTTCCCTTAAACTAGAATTCAGCATTGCAGAAAAACTGACATGCATGAATTAAAATATGTATGACCAACGAGATGCAATCATGCGATCAGAATTTAGAATGCAGAATCAATATCAAATATGAAATATTATTACCAAGAAAAATAATCGATTACTGATTTGGCGTTCCATTTATTAACCTTGAGATAACTAATTTTAATTTTTCCTTCATGAAGATTTCAAAACGACCTCTTTTTGGAGGAAAAACATTCTCAAAGGAAATGATGACTTGACAATCTACTTTAGATATTTATAGAAAAAAATCTAGCGAACCTCAACAATAGTAACCTTTTATCAGACTTGTCCTTGAGAGATTGCAGAATCGAACCTGTCAGCTTGTTCCCTGATAAATTTCTACACAGAGAGTGAAATATAAGTACAGTAAAATAGTGTTCCAGCGTTTGTATCATAACTCACGAGACTTTCAAGTTTGACAGTCGCCCTAAAGCTTTTGGTATAGGCCCACTCAAGTCATTGTCTAACAAGTCCCTGGAGAAAAAACATACTAGAATATTACGAGAAAAATATTTTGAGTGAAGTACTCTCACATGAACACCTTAAAAGAAACTAATCCTTTTTTCTTGTAATTGACAAGCTATCGATCCATATATGTCACGACATAAAAGTTTGCTAAATTGAAGGGTGTTTTGGCATTGCAATAAGGAGATTACTTAATAGAGAAGATCGCTAGGATTAGTCCCAAGGGCAAGCCAACCAACATGCCATGTAGACGAGCAACTAGTAGCCTAAGTAGAGAGATGGCCAACAACCCAGGCTAATAGCCCAAGTACACAACTCAAAGATTATGCAAAGGCTAATGAGGGGCAAATTGGTCAAAACATTATTCTAAAAGTTAATGGAGCTTCCCAAGTCGCCAAGAATTGATCCACAACTCTTATATGATGTAAAGGGACCCTTATGTCTATAAAAGGGGTTCCGCATCCTTTATATACATCGTAAAAGGTCTTTTTTGTACATTTAGATAGCAAAACCTGTGTACAATAAATTTTTCTTTGCCCCACTATTGTTCTTGCACGTGTGTGTATGTGTGTTGCATACATTCTTGTTAGAATTCTTTTCCTTAGGGTGGAAAGGGGGTTTCTAGTTTGACTTAGGCTTATTAGAAATGTTAAAAGGCATCTAAGATTGCACGATAGTGCACTTAAGTTGCCTACATATGATAAGTATTATTAAAACAACAAAATCAAAATAGAGAGTGGTGGCTATGGTGGAGGTCATGGGACAAAAGTGGCAACCCACACCCAAGCCAAGTATGTGGGATCCCTTTAGTAACTTAGGAAGGATAGGTGCACAGAGTCTTGAGGTACAGGTAGACACTAATTATCAAGTCGAAAGGGGCCAATATAGTGGCTGGGTGTGCTACATTCAAAACTAAGGGGTCTGGGATCCTCCAAGCAACTTAAGAGGGGCAAATGTACTTGACAATATAGTGTCATAGGGACTAAGAAGGATAAGGGTTTATTGTAAAATAGGTTGTAACTTTAAACAAGTAATTTTAGAGAAATAAATTTTGTTATTGAACCAAGTAGAAAGAAAAAGCTTAACGGGAGAGATGATAGATTGGAGAAGAAGAATAATAAGCTCTACATGCAAAATTTTTTTTCATTTCACTTAAACATTCGAGCACAAGAGAGAAAGTAATATTGAAAATGCAAAAAGGCAAAGGAATTGAAAGGCAACGATTTGTGCACCCTTTCATGGTCTGTCTCCCAATCCCCGATGACTAGCGGAGTCATAACAAGAAAGTCATGTGATAGTTTTCATGTGACGTTTTCTTCTTTTTTATTTAAACCCAATACTCTATTGTTTAGCAAATTTGAGACTGGCTGTTAGACAGAGAGCAAACTTCAACACACCTTCTTGGTTTCTACTTGGCAAACCCCCAACTTGGACCTCAGAGACTTGAATTTTTCCTTGCTTAATCCTTTAGTGAGGATATTAGCAAGTTGTTGATCAGTATGACAATATTAAAGCTCTATTTCACCTTCCTTTGCAGCCTCTCATAAGGCATGAAATTTGACACGAATATGTTTGGTGCATCAATGTTGCACAGGGTTTTTAGCTATGGCTATAACTGATTGATTGTCAACTCTCAATTGAGCGCTTTTGTCTTGCTTTAAGTTCAAATCAGTGAGAATTTTCCTCAACCATTTACCATAATTAGCAACACAAGTAGTGGCAATATATTTTGCTTTTACTGATGATTATGCTACCACTTCCTACTTTTTTTAGTTCCAATAGAACACAGCTTTACCAAACGAGAAACAGCACTCGCTTGTGCTTTTTGAATCATCAATACAACCAACAGAATCACAATCACAGAACCCCAAAAGTTCACTTCTTTCATGTTTACGATATTTTAAACCAAAGTTTACCGCACCTTTAATATATCTTAGGATCCACTTGATAGCTGAGAAATGCAATATTGATGGAGATTGCATGTATTGAGATAAAGTACTACTAGCAAACATGATATCAAGTTGTGTGGCAGTTAAGTATAACAGGCAACCAATTATTCTGCTGTACACTATACCATTTGCTACTGATGAGCCATCATCCTTACATAATTTGATTCTTATAGTGAGATAAGTAGTTACAGCTTTGTAGAAGTTCATATTGAACCTTTTTAATAGTTCCTTTGCATACTTAGTCTAATGAACATAGATTTCAGCAGTGCCTTGTAGGAATTCTATTACTAAGAAGTAGGAAATTCCCCCCAAATCTATCATTTCGAACTCTTTCATCATTTGATTTTTAAATTTATTTAAGAACTCATTGTGTAGCCCTGTGATGAGTAAATTGTCCACATATAGTAAAACTATATGCACGACAAAAGTATTTGAACTCTTCACATAAAGTGTTGGTTCATTTGCACTATGACAAAATCCATCACTGATTAGATAATTATCAATTCTTTCATACCAAGCTCAATAAGCCTATTTAAGTCCATATAGGGTCTTTATAAGTATGCAGACTTTTCCAGCTGATCCATGCTTTTAATAACCTTCTAGTTGCTCAACATATATAGCTCCATACAAGGTTCCATTTAGGAATGCAGACTGAACATTTAAATGCCAAATTCTCCACCTTTTTTTAGTTGATAGAGCAACTAGTAGTCTAATTATATCGTGTCTTGCAACTGGAGCAAATGTTTCCATTCAATCAACACTATATACCTATGCATAGCCCTTCACCACTAATTTGGCTTTAAATTTATTAATTGACCCATTTGAATTAACTTTGTGTTGAAAATCCAGTTCACCACAATCAAATTTTGATCAGTAGGCCCATCAAAAAGGATCCAAGTGTCATTCTTCTCGATCATACTCATCTTTGCATCTATTGCCAATCTCCAATTTTCATATAAGAAAGCCTTAACGTAAGTTGCAGGTTCAATAATTGTTGCATTACACCTGTTATATATATCCTACAATGTTATTGTGCCTTTAACAGCTAAGCTTTCATCTTCTATATCTTTTGAATCATTATCTTCTTGTGCGGCTCTAATAGTGGTTATATTCTTTTTGGATTTGAATGAGTTTCTCCTATGTTTGCCTTTAGCACAAGCATCACCAAGTTTGTCATTTTCAAAGTTTAGCTTAAGAAGTTCTATTACATGATCTAGATTTAATAAATTTGAAATTGTATTCATGCTAACATGTCCTAGTTTCCTATGCCATAACCAACTATCCTCATTCTTTTTAGCCATGAAACATACAATGTTTAAAGATAAATCATCTAAGAAAACAGCATATGTATTACCTTGTCTATGACTAACAAAAAGAGTCTTTTTAGTTTTAATATCAACAACATGACAAGTTAATGATTCAAATATAACTCTAAGACCTTTGTCACAAAGTTGACTAACACTCAACAAATTATGTTTAAGAGCATTTACAAATAAAACATTTTCAGTTTAAGAGTAGGAGTTTTTACCAATAATACCAATAGCTTCAATGTGACCTTTTAAGTAGTCACCAAAGGTTACATTTCCTCTCTTCTTTGGTCTTAATTCCTTGAAAGACTCCTTGATCCCAATCATGTGTCTAGAGCATCCACTATCAAGATACCACTTTCCCTCTTTTTGTGCTCTTAACTTTAAGCAAGTGAGTTCTTCTTACAAAGACAAAATTCAAACATTTGATTTTGGTACCCAAATTTTCTTAAGTTCATATAAG